CTGGTGCTTCATTTGTAAAGATGGCGGAGACCTAATGCTCTGTGACTACAAGTGAGTCTCTCTCTCGCTCTCTATATATATATACAATCGTCTCTGATTTCGGAGATTTTCATGCCTCGTTGATGGATTTGGGTCTTAGTTAAACCAGAGGAACGTAGACGGTAGCGAAATTCCAATGATGGAAAACATAATGCTGCTTTTTGGGTAGAGGATGAAGATAATTTTTGATGCATGTTCTTGATTTCTGCTGATGAAGGGTGTTTACGTCTTTGAGGGTTTTGATTATTTGATAACGAGGATTCGTCAATTTCAAGGCAGGATTATATACTATATAATGAGTGATGAAGCTATAGAGAATAGTCAATGCTTTAATTGATGTTGCAAAGTGGAGCCATTGTCTACTATTCTGTATAAAAGATGTTTCTTTCTGTTGAAATTGGAAAGCATGTTTTTTTTTCCTCTGTTGACATGTATAAAAGATGTTTCAATTTGATGTGCCATGTATGTGACGCCTTTTGGGTCATTGATTAGGGGATTGGGTACCAAATTGACCTTTTTTTTATCTATTAAATTGCAGCATATTGATAATTTGAGATTGATAGGGAATCTGCATATTGAAGCATTTTCTGTTGTGAAATCTATATAGTTTAAATGTATGCATCTACCTGTGCACCTCAATGTGTTTGCTTATTTCAGGGACTGTCCGAAAGTTTATCATGCCTCTTGCGTTGAAAAGGAGATCACAGTAAGAGGGAATGAAGAATCGTTGATCTGTAGTAAGTGCTAAAGTTTCTCTACCCATATTTACTTATTTAGATATTCATTGCAATATTATAACCATTATGTCTGAAAATAAGAGACATTGGAGAAGAATATAGTATGTAGTTTGTGGATTTCAGGACTTTTTCCAGTTCTTTAGTAGTGACGAGTAGACCGGTTAGCATCTACCAAGAATAGATTTTGAGCTTCTTTTAAGCCTTTTTAATCATTACTGTAGATACCCTTGTCTCTGTAGATAGATTATCTGTTTTCTTAAGCCTGTAGAAGTCATTGGCAACGCAAAGTTATCTATCACCTTGTGTACACTATCGATCTTTATATTCAAAAACTAATGTCTTACCTTCATAGGTTCTTGGGTTAAAAATTTCTGAACACAGTAGAGGAAGACATATTTTGAACGTTCATATTTGCAGTCAGAAGACTACTGTATTTGTTGTACTTGCTTTCTGGAGAGATTAATGTTAAATTGTAAACTTTCAATTTTCAGAGTGGCACAGTTGCTACTTGTGTAGCAAGAGACCGAAGCTATGCTGCCTTTGTTGCCCACATGCTGTATGTGAAGGCTGTGTTACTCATGCTGAGTTTATTCACCTTAAAGAGAATAAAGGGTTATGCAATCAATGCCAGGAGTATGTCTATGCTTTAGAAGAAATTCAAGAATATGATGCTGCTGGGGTATGTTTCAAACTGCCACACAACCATATCAAGATAATGCCCTATTATATATCTTTTCCTTAATTTTGGAAAGTAGTCTTTATCTTTGAAATTTTGGTAGTCAGGCGTTGCAAATAACTAAGGTGTTTAGGATTTGTAAAAATCTGTCTAAAAGGGATTTATGGCCATATGAAATGAAACAAAAATGAGCATGGCTTTGGAAGAAGCTAAGCGAAACAACTTAAGAAATTTTAATTAGAAGACTTGGTTAGGCTTCTCTCTAGGAAAAGACAGATGAATCTACCACGCATTTGGTATGTCTTTAGTAAATTGAATGAATTATTTGCATAATGGTTAGCATGTATCAAAACTTGCAATGCACTACTTTGTTAAGAAATTTCTTAAATTAAAAAGTGTTACAGAAATAGTAACTGCTGTATCAAGGGAGTTGATTTCTTTATATGATTTTTAATTTTATTTACCTGGACTTTTCAATCAAGGAGTTGAGTACACATTTGAATTGTTATTTTCTTTGCTCATAACATTCCTTTACTGGTTGGCAGGATAAGATCGACTTGACAGATAGAAATACATTTGAGTGTCTGTTTCTGGAGTATTGGGAAATAGTAAAAAGTCAAGAAGATATAAGTTTCGAAGATGTCCAAGAAGCTTCAAAGTCACGGAAGAAAGGTGTCAAGTCAAGGTACAAAAATGATCCCAAATTTTCGCTCAATGATGTTCACTCTTCAAAATCACGAAAGAAAGGCGTCAAGTTTAAGTACAAAGATGATCCCAAATTTTCTTTAACTGACCATGCGGTTGAGGATGCAGAAGATTATAAAATGCTGGGCAAATCAAAGAGAATGGAGTTTGTTGGATGGGGTTCAAAGCCCCTTATTGATTTCCTAACATACATAGGGGAAGATACCAAAGACGCAATGTCACAACATAGCGTGGAGTCAGTTATCCGGAGGTACATCCGACAGAAAAACCTGCTTGACCCTGAAAAGAAGAAGAAAGTTCGTTGTGATGAGAAGCTGTATTCTATCTTCAGGAAGAAGTATGTGAATCACAATAAGATATATAAACTTTTAGAAACCCACTTGAAAGAGAACGTTGAGCAGCTGGAGTATCTCAATCTTTTGGAACGTGGCTTCGGTGAAAAGAATGAAAAGGTTTTATTGCCATGCAAGAAGCAGAAAACAAAAAGATCAGATGAGGGAATTTGTGTAAAGGAAGTGAAACCTGAAATGCGTTCTACCGGACTCGCCACAATCAATACAGATAATATAAAACTTGTTTATCTACGGAAGAGCTTAGTCGTAGAGCTATTGAAGCAGAATGAGGGCTTTGGGAAAAAGGTGGTGGGATGCTTTGTAAAAGTAAAGAATGACCCTAGGGAGTTGATCGCGTACCAGATCCTGCAGGTTACAGGTAATTAGTATTTGCTGTTTGTTTTGTCTTTCATCTTGTAGATTTTAGATAATTTTGACTGTCTTTTTTCTTCTGATTTGTTACATGGCAGCCTATTAGACATAGTAATACTCTTCTGAATTTCCCATCCATGTCATGATCACTACATCACAATCAATGTCACACGTGCTCTTTTTTTTCTTTTCTGTAGGCATTAAAACTTCTGATGACCAGAGAGAGGGCGTGCTTCTTTATGTTGCTGGTATGGCAAGTGATGTTAGCATTTCAAAGTTGGATGATTCTGACATAGGCAAGGTGAATTATGTCTGAACTTAATTTATATATCACCATTTTGTTTATTGCTCTCTTCCTCGCTGCTATTCCTCCGTGGTGATTAGTCACCACTGTTTGTTTCCATTACTTTGTAATTTTGCTATGTCAATGCTCTGGTATGCGTGGTTAGAATTGTTAAAACTTCCTTTGTTTTTACTTTCTTCTTCAGGACGAGATTGAAGATTTAAAGCAAAAAGTGGTGAATGGCTTTCTGAGACAACCAACTGTTGTAAGTTGTTAAGGCAATCTAAGATTTCTGTTTATCACAAAGGATATATGGTTCTTTGTTTAGAATATATCATTAAGGTGAAGAGTTTTCTTTGTTCTAAATTCTAATAGCTTGAGATGGAGGAGAAGGCTAAGGCTCTCCATGAGGATATCACAAAACATGTAAGTATCTCTGAAATCACAGAATCATGTTCATACGACAGAGGACAAATGGTTACTCACTCTTGGTGTTTTTGGTGCTGCATCTAACATTTCTTGTGTAAAAAAAAAAAAACACAGTGGATTGCAAGGCAGCTTATGATTCTGCAGAAACGCATCAACTATGCTAATGAGAAAGGATGGAGAAGAGAATATCCTTTTGGATTCTAATCATCGTCAACACATTTTTCAAATCTTTCGTATGATCTTTAAATTTGAACACCTTAACTCTTTCCTTGTACATTAGAAGAGTATTTAGAACAGAGAGAACTTCTCCAAAAACCTTCAGAGCAGGAGAGATTAATAAGACAAACTCCAAGGATCATCGAAGACCTCGTCGAAATCAAATCAGAAGCAGTTGCATCCTCAGATAGCAGCAAACAAGAGATCATCAGCGGTTTATCTCAGGAGGCGGCGATAAATATCGACTGAGCTAACCAAAAGTCTTGAGGAGGAAGAAGATTGTTGTTCTTGTACATCTTTTTGTTTTCTGGTTAGGAAATTTTGAATGGAAGTTTCTTCTTCTTCCATTACAACTTAAGAAACTCGGCTAATTATCCTTTTGATACTGACTTGCTTTTGCAGAAACAAGAAAGCTTATGTTT